AAGACGGTAATTGGAGATTCTATGTAGATTACAGAGCGTTGAACAGCATCACAGTAAACGACAGGTATCCAATACCCTTGGTTGAAGAGCACTTCGATGAGTTGGGCAAAGCTAAGTATTTTTCCAAGTTGGATCTGCAGTCAAGCTACCATCAAATCCGAGTACATCCAGAGGACGTTCACAAAACTGCGTTCTGGACCTCGGATGGGCATTTCGAGTTCCTAGTGATGCCTTTTGGTTTGACCAATGCACCTTCTACATTCCAAAGGCTCATGAATGAGATCTTTAAGCCCTACATGCACCTATTTGTGCTTGTTTTCTTTGATGATATACTTGTTTACAGCCCGAGTTGGGTCACTCATTTGGAACATTTGCAGTGTGTATTAGGCTTACTCCACCACCATCAATTGTTTGCTAAACCCTCAAAGTGCTCCTTTGGACAGATTCAGATTAGTTACTTGGGGCACATAATCTCTGATGAGCGGGTGCGCATAGATCCAGAAAAGATAGACTGCATGGTCACATGGGCCAGGCCCACCTCTCCACGGGCCCTCAGAGGTTTCGTAGGGCTCATCGATTATTATCACCGGTTCATCAAAGGGTATGGGATCCTTGCATCCCCCTCACTCGATTGTTGAAGAAACACTCCTTCGAGTGGGATTAGAAAGCTGAAGAGGCCTTCCAATTACTCAAGAAGGCAATAACGACACCACCTACTTTGCACTTCCCGATTTCAACTTGGAATTCGTGGTGGAGGCTGACGCATCAGGTAGGGGAATAACTGTGGTCCTAATGCATCCAGATCGGCCTCTGGCCTACTTCAGTAAGGCCCTCTCTCCTCGAGCTCAAGCCAAGTCTACTTATGAGAAGGAGCTCATGGCGATTACTCTAGCAGTTCAGAAATGGAGAGCATATCTCCTAGACTGAAGGTTTATTGTCAGGACAGACCACCACAACATCAAACATCTACTGGAGCAATGAGTCTTGGGCCCTGACCAACACAAGTGGGCCTACAAGTTGTTGGGGTTTGATTTTGTCATAGAGTATAAACCTGGGCCTTCTAATACTGTGGCAGATGCACTCTTCCGGGCAGATAACCTTCATGTGATGGGTGTGTCCCAGCCAACCTATCCCTTGACAAACCAGCTAAGACAAGAGGCCCATGATGACCAACACCTGGCTTAGATACGGGCCCAAACCCATGAAGGTTCCACACTTACTTCAGGGTATGCCGTGAAGAATGGTATTCTCTTCTACAAAGGCCAAATGGTGGTATCTGAAAGGTCCAAGTACCACCAAGAATTGCTACGGCTATTTCATGACTTGGCCCAAGGGGGTCATTCCGGAGCTCTTCGCACCTATAAGCGATTGGCAACCCATTATCATTGGAAGGGCATGAAACGTATGGTACAGGAGTATGTTGCAAGTTGTGCAACGTGCCAACAACAGAAGTATAGCATGCAGACACCGGCTGGGTTATTGCAGCCTCTGCCCCTACCAGAGAGAGTTTGGGAAGGAGTTACCATGGATTTCATAATTGGGCTTCACACATCCCAAGGGAAGTCGGTAGTGTTGGTAGTGGTAGACCGGTTAAATACGTATACACTTTATTGCCTTCTCCCGACCCTACTCAGCAATCACAGTGGCCCATGCCTACATACAGGAAGTGGCCAAACTCCACGGAACCCCCCACTCCATTTTGACCAACTGAGATCCCCTCTTCATGAGTACCTTTAGGAAGGCCTACATCACAGCCCAAGGGGTTCAAATGCTACACAACCAGCTATCACTCCCAGATGGATGGACAGTCTGAAGTAGTCAACCGTTGCTTGGAAACATATCTAAGGTGCTTTGTGGGAGATAAACCCAAGCAGTGGGCCCAATGGTTACCATGGGCCGAGTATTGGTATAATACCACGTTCCAAATCTCAGCTGGAACTACCCCCTTTAAGGTGCTCTACGGATGTGACCCCCCATCCATCTTACCTTATGAAACGGGTATGTTGCCAGTAGCCGAAGTTGAAGCTCAGCTAAAGGCAAGGGATAGCACACTGAAGGTCCTCAAATTCCATCTACAACAGGCTCAGCAACGCATGAAGCTAGCCTATGATAAGAAGCACCAGGAGTTGGAATTCTCTGTAGGGAGGGAGGTCATTTCATCCAAACAAATCAAATATCTAATTCCATAAAGCTGCAGCAAAGGGACAAGATATCAGTACGTGGTAACAATCCTCATTTTGATCTTTATAGAGGAGCAATACATTGTGTACTTGGGACAAAAGTATGCTTTGTCTCTCTGAGGTGAAGGAATGCACTTAGACAAGGCATGATGGGTTGATGGTTGAATGCTAAAACATATAATTAAGAGGTCTCAAAGTTCAAATCCTTTTACCACATTTTAAAATGTGTAGCCATTTAGTGACCCAGGCAGGTTGTGAAACTTGCTGGATTGTTGAAACCCAGCCAGTTTTCAACAGGTCGGCCAGGTTTTGACCCGTTCCACCAGTTTTTCAAAAAATGAAAACTGGAACTTTTAAAAATTGTCCAGTTCCCAGGTTTACCGGTCTGACCATATGGTCTGGTCCAAGTCTTACAACATTGCCATTGTCCATTTCACTATATATGTACCTACTTTGTATGGCACTAGGGATACTGTATATTTCCTACATCACCTATTAACATTATCACTCCTTTGTATCTGGGATTTTGGAGCGAAATCCTAATTTCATCAAAGAAGAATTTTTAAAATCTTGGGATCCACCTGAGAATGGCTTCCTTAAACTAAACTTTGAGGGAAGTAGCTTTGGTAATCTAGGTCCCTCCTGAATAGGAGGGGTGACAAGAAATGATAGTGGAGTAATTTTGGGAGTTAGGACTATATTCAGGCCCTCTCAGCCTAAGGAATTCCACAACAGCTGAATGGAATGCCATGGTGTTTGGGATGCAAAAAGCTTTTGAAGTAGGAGTCAATAAGCTGATAATTGAAGGAGATTCAAAAGTAGTCATCAGTTGGCTGAAACAGTATGAAAAAGCTCCATGGTACTTTCAAAATGAGATAAAAAAAGGTTAGAAGACTGTCAAGAAACATACAGGTGGATTTCCAGTGGGTGCCAAGGTCGAATAATAGTCTTGCAGATCAGTTAGCAAAGCAAGGGGTAAACAGGGCAGTGTGTTTGGGCTCAATTGTAATGCTTAAACTCAAATTTCTTGGTTTGCTTAATTTGTAGTGGGGTAGCTGAGGCTACCCAAAATTGTACTTATTTCTCTATTTAATAAAATCTTTTCTGGTACTGATCCCAAAAAAATAAAATCCTAAGGTCTTCTCAAATGTACTGTGGACTCTGGAGACTTCAAAGGACCTTATCCACCCTTAAACCAGTATTTCAAAATCGGTTTTGGAAATGGAATTGCTTTTCCCCTATGGCTGGTGGGTCAGCAGTTTCACTGTTTGGTCAAATGAGCCAACTTATGATATCATAAATTATAAATAAAAATATGAAGTAAAAAATATAAAAATGGAGTAAAAATACAGAAAACTGCTGAAAAATTGGGCATGTCTATCGCATTGTATAATCATCATATTGAATAAAACAAAGTGTGAAAATACGGAAAACACAAAAATAAAGGACTTGGATATTAGGTTTTTTGGATTTGGATGGAAGATCTGTTAAGGAGTGACAAGGAATGTAGATTTGATGAAATGGTAAAGATTATTAGGCAATTTGATAGGTGAGGTAATTTTAGCTCAGATCTCCAGATTATAGTGCAAAATGGTGAACATCAAAAGGATTGAGGTGCCCATTGATCCCCGTTTTATTTTCCCATCATAATGCATGTGTTCAAGGTGGAGAATACATTTAGTTGTTTTCTGTGATTGTTCCAGTATAGAATTTTCTTTTCTTCCCCTTAACAAACATTAGCAATTAGCTGATTATTATCTTTGAGGCCTATGCGTAATCACACCTCTCAAGGTAATGTGCAAAGCAACGAAGGCAGCATTATGCTGGATGGTATGGGAATAAAGGAATAATAGGATATTCTTGGAAAAAAAAAAAAACAGAACAGTAGAGGAAGTGATTAACAGCACCAAGGTGAAAGTAGCTCATTTTTTAAAATCCTTGGACAGCTTTCAAGTCCTCTCAGTCACAGACATTCTAAGAACCTGGTCTGAAGTAGCATAGTCCTCAAGAGTGAGACAAAGTAAGGCTGGAGTGTAAACCACCAGAAGGCAATAAAGTGAAACTGAATTTTGATGGAATCTCCCTTGGAAATCTGGGACTTTCAGGTATAAGAGTAATCAGAAATTCTGAAAGGAGGATACTAGTTATATTCTAGGACCGATTGGCATGGGGAATTCACTGAAGGCTGAACTTTTGGCATTACTACAAGGTCTGGGGCTAGCTAAATAGATGGGATACAGGCATATTGAAGTGGAAGGGGACTCAAAAGTGATCATTTCCTGGGCTGCATTTGCAGCCATACCCTGTGAACGTTTAAACATGTGATTAGGGAAGTGGAAAAGATAGCAAAGGAGGTTGAGGCTGAATTTAAATGAGTGGTGTGCAAATGGGTTAGCTGATTATCTAGCAAAACAAGGGGCATTGAGACAACAATTATCTTGGGCTGCTTTGTAACGAGGGACAGAGAGTGATTAAATGGGATCATCACTCCCATTACCAAGTTGTATAAACTATTTCCATTCTGAAATTTGAATAAAATTCATGCTTACTGATAAAAAAAAGGTGTACACTGCCTTTACAAGCTTAAGTGCCTCGTGTACCTTCAGGCTTTAGCCCATTAAAAACAGTGAAAAGTACAACACATACCAAGTTATTCTCTAAATCATCCTACTATCATCTCATTGAATTTCCACACGAAGCTCCTTTGTTTTGGGAACAAAATAAATAAAAACTATTTCAACTTTTTTTAATAGAATTGAATTGCTATATCAACTTCTTTGCCTCATGAAAATAGATATATTGTTTTGCATTCACATACAGGATGCGTTTATGCTGTCTGTAGACCGGAGAGGATTTGATGTGCTGGGTAAGGTTCCTAGTCTGGTGACAAAAGATGGTTTTGGCGGATTCCAGTGGAAGGAGCTCCGGTTCACTTTCAAGGACGAGGCACGGGATATTGAAACATTCTGCCGTCTACTTGTTGAAATGGAAGAGGAAGCTCTGAAGAATGTTAAAAGTTACAGTGGCCTAGGATAAGTATCAACAATGATACTGGATATCGTTTACAAATTACAACTCTCTCTCTCTCTCTCGCCGTGTGAAAAAAGAAAAATGGATTATCGAGGAAAACTCTCAACTGGACCATGGGATTGGATTTCCTAATCCACTTGCCTAGTCCCAAGTGGGGGGGTTTCGTCTCTCCATGAGAATGTTCCTATACTCCAGAAACTTTATCATAATGGGATTCTAGATTATGCATATTCCTTATTTTTGGTAGAATCAACATATTCAAAACGACACATCCGATCAGGTATCACATCATGTCATATGAAGCAAAGGCATACTTAATGCAAAAAAAAAAAAAAAAACGGAAAAAGTACTGACAGGCCCAATACAGATTTCTGAATTCTTATTGCAGATCTATAAATATTCAAAATGTCAAATGTCTCTACTCTATGCACCAATATCCGTCCGTGCAAGTGCAATTCTGAACTGGCACTTACTCCAATTGTACTTTGGGCCTAAAAATTCTGACCCTGGGCTGAACCGTCATTCTCCCCAAAAAAAAGATCAGCCAAAGATCAGCCAGTAGGTAAAGACTGGATACCACCTAGGGACTAACTGCATTTGATTATCAATGACCCCAAGCAAACCAGAGTGCATTCCACATAATTAACACACCGAAAACAAGTTTTTTAGTCAACGACCCCAATCAAAGAAGGGTGCAAAATTTTTTTTTGCTGAAACCTTCCCTAAAGTTTTTAATTGTTGTTAAAACCTTCTGAATTTTTTGATATAGTTGCAAGTAGACACTTTGATAGAATCTTCTAAAATACTCGTGCAGTTGTTTTTGACAAATATTTATTTTTCAAATTTTCTTTAATATAAATCACTACCTCTTTTTCTGATATTGATTTATTTTTCAAATTTTACTGTAATTTTTTTTTATAAAAATTAGTCAAATGTATGGATATTTCAAGAGGATCTACTTTCAACTGATTCATCAATTACGCTTTTTTTTCCTCCAAAACCAAAATCCCTGGACAATCACAAAGCAGGATAACAGATATATTTGGCATGTTCGTTCAATTTTGAACTCCGTAATTTAAATCCCAAGATCCAGGCATCCAGCCCTGAGGTGTGCGAATCGAAGACCAAGCTATCACTGTAAATTGTTGGTTGTGGTCTTGTGGGCGTATACCAAAAGTATTACCACCATCGCGGAAGTTAATTAGTGGTCAAAGGACTTCTCGAGGCCCAGCCATAGAGCCAACATATAGAGCAATTAGAAAAAGATCAGACAGAACAAGAATTGAAGAAAAGATAGCCAAGTCACAGTACCCAAAAAAGAAAAGATAGACAAAATGCATTGCCCCATTATCCTCGGGCAATCTAGACAAATTCAAAGTTCACAACAAACCATCGCCACAACCCACTTAACATCATATTGTAACAAGAATCAAAATGAAAAGATTATCCTTTAGCACACCACCCGCACCCTTAACATTAGTTTCTTAATCAACCTCTTCGATCTTTGGTCCAGCACCACTCCCACCGACTGAAGGACCTTCATCATCCATCCCACCGCCCATATCAGGCCCAGCTCCCTGGTACATCTTGGCGATGATAGGATTGCAGATACTCTCCAGCTCCTTCATCTTATCATCGAATTCATCTGCTTCCGCTAGCTGGTTGCCGTCCAACCACTGGATGGCCTGCTCAATTGCATCCTCGATCTTCTTCTTGTCGGCTGGGGCAAGCTTGGCACCAATCTTCTCATCCTTTACTGTGTTCCTCATGTTGTACGCATAGTTCTCCAATGCGTTCTTGGACTCCACCTTCTTCTTGTGCTCCTCGTCCTCAGACTTGTACTTCTCTGCTTCCTGGACCATCTTTTCGATCTCCTCCTTCGACAATCTACCCTTGTCATTGGTGATCGTTATCTTGTTCTTCTGCCCGGTGGTCTTGTCCTCGGCAGAAACGTTCAAGATACCGTTAGCATCTATGTCAAAACACACAGTGATTTGAGGAACACCTCTGGGAGCCGGCGGGATGCCTGAGAGTTCGAATTTTCCCAACAAGTTGTTATCTCTAGTCCTCGTTCTCTCACCCTCATACACCTGTATCAACACTCCAGGCTGATTGTCAGAGTAAGTAGAAAACACCTGCTCCTTCTTGGTGGGAATGGTGGTATTCCTGGGAATCAACACAGTCATAACACCACCTGCTGTCTCCAGACCAAGCGAGAGAGGCGTAACATCCAGGAGCAAGAGGTCCTGAACCTTCTCATTGCCCTCACCACTCAAGATAGCAGCCTGGACTGCAGCGCCATAAGCAACGGCCTCATCAGGGTTGATACTCTTGCACAGCTCCTTCCCGTTAAAAAAGTCTTGCAACAGTTGCTGGACCTTGGGAATCCTAGTAGACCCGCCGACAAGAACAGCATCGTGAACAGTGCTCTTGTCCATCTTCGCATCCCTAAGACATTTCTCAACTGGCTCCATACACTTTCTGAAGAGATCCATGTTGAGCTCCTCGAATCTGGCACGGGTGATGGTGGAATAGAAGTCGATACCTTCGTACAAAGAATCAATCTCAATGGTGGTCTGGGCAGTGGACGAGAGAGTCCTCTTTGCCCTCTCACATGATGTCCTGAGCCTCCTCAGAGCTCTAGGGTTTCCACTGATGTCCTTCTTGTGCTTCCTCTTGAACTCTTGAACGAAATGGTTCACCATTCGGTTGTCAAAGTCCTCTCCTCCGAGGTGAGTATCTCCGGCAGTGGCCTTAACCTCAAAGATACCCTCTTCAATGGTAAGGAGGGAGACATCAAAGGTTCCACCACCAAGGTCAAAAATGAGAACATTCTTCTCGCCAACACTGCCGGCCTTCTTGTCAAGACCGTAGGCAATGGCAGCAGCCGTGGGCTCATTGATGATACGCATGACATTCAGCCCAGCGATGACACCGGCATCCTTTGTGGCCTGACGCTGAGAGTCGTTGAAATAGGCGGGAACCGTGACAACGGCATTCTTAACGGTCGAGCCAAGATAAGCCTCAGCAATCTCGCGCATCTTCATTAGGACCATGGATGAGATCTCTTCAGCAGCAAACTGTTTCTCCTCACCCTTATAGGTTACCACGATCATGGGCTTGTCACCAGGGCCGGCAATAACCTTGAAGGGCCACAACTTAATATCACTCTGAACAGAAGCATCACTGAATCTCCTACCGATCAAACGCTTTGCATCTAAAAATGAATGGAAGGGAAAATTAGAAGACCAAAAACCCCAACCCAGTGTAGGATAGACAGATTCTCGCAAGAACAGCAAAAAAATTACACACTTAGACATTCGAGTAACATAAACTCTAGATGGAAAAACTATCACTAATTAACCGTTACAGAAGGCAAAAAAAGGTTAGAACCTCCAGATGTAATGTTACATATAAAAAAGAGTTGAAAACACAACCAAAAATAGAGGCGCGAGACCCGCATGGAAAGCCCTACTCAGGGACGAAAGTTATAACTGAACAAAACAAGATGGACAGAAAAGATAGAACCCATTCAGCATGAGATCTAAACTAAGACATCCAAAAAACTCAACTTTGAAAAAAAAAAAACAGATCCGAAATTTGAACTACTCAAACTTAAATGACGTCCAGTAATTTTAAAACAGACGTTGAACTAAAACTTATACACGGCATTCTAGCACTCAGTAAGAAATTTAATCTGCAGGAAAAAAAATTCCAAGATATTCAACTTAAATGGAGCAGCATACAACGATAATAGATCTGGGGGCAAAAGCCTTAAACTTACCGAAGACGGTGTTGATCGGGTTCATGGCAACTTGATTCTTCGCTGCATCTCCGATTAACCGCTCGGTGTCTGTAAAGCCAACGTAGGATGGAGTGGTCCTATTTCCTTGATCATTGGCGATAATTTCAACACGATCGTGTTGCCATACCCCAACACAGGAATAGGTTGTACCGAGATCGATTCCAATCGCCGGACCTTCACCCTTACCAGCCATTCTTCTCGCAAGAACCGATTAAAGAACGGGAAAAACAAATTACAGACTACGCGGAAAAGAACAACTAAAGCTTGCGCTAGGGTTAGACGAAAGAATGGGTGGGAAAAAGAAAGAAACGTTCGTTATATAGCTAGTTTAGGTTTGTTTGTGTTTCCAGAACATTCGATATCCAGTGTATCGTGACCGTTGGATCAAAAAAGTAAGCAAGCCTAAGAAGACTTGACTTTGTTTAAAACGGGAAGTGCACAAGTTATCCTTTATCTTTATAAAAGGTGAGATCTGAGAAATCGGTTTGAATTCTAGAAACATCGAATAACAAAGTTTGTAATTCTTCCAGATGGTTCCAGTTCAGCGATTGCCGATTGGCCCGCCTGAACCTACCCGTTTGTTAATTTGACCTTATGACTCCACTCAAAAGTTTCGTGGCCGGATCCGGATGGGTGGGCTGGTGGCATATAATGGTTAGTTGCTGAATGCTGATGAGTGATGACTTCCATAATCCAGGTCTTGTGTATTGAACTCTTCGAATCTTTCATTATAAAGACGCACAGTCCATATAGGAATAAGGTTCAAAGTATGGTCATCGTGTCGATGGTTTTCCGATATATCCCTTGATTGTATCGGGTCAAATCCTGGTTCGGAGGGTAATTAGGCTTTAAACCGATTTTTTTGAACTAATTTCAAAAAATAAATAAATAAACAAAACCTCAAAAAAGTACGAGGACGGTATCGGATTTGATATGAGTAAGGTAAATCCATAGCCAATAGTGTACCGTATTTGAAAATTTTACATGGCATCGGACCCCGTTCCATTCAAATCCCAGCCCATAGAAGTTACACTTTATCCGATTACGGATGGATAGGATAATGGAAAGAATTCGGCTTTATAAGGGGTTTGGAATCTGAATTAAAACCTGTTGTTGGGTACAATCCAAATCTAATTCTCATCCCTAGTGGAATTTGGAATGGTATTTACTAATTCCCTATTTGAGGGAGGGAGGTCATTTCCTACCCTCCATTTCAGCTAATTCCAATTTGCGTTTGAAACAAACGAACAAAGGGAATAGACCATTCCAATTTCCGATTCTGATGAATTTCGATTCTAATTCCAATTTCAGTTCTGATGAAATTTTTATGATTAGTGAAATTAGAAGTTAGTAAATATAAGCTTGAGTGAGGTTTGATCTAAGGTTCAAAGTATTGAAAACGTAAGTGTATTAAAAAGACAATTTTAAGATACGTATTGGAATATGCCTTGAATACACATGCATATGGAAGAAAAGCTAAGATACGCATAGATACGCTTGGAAACATTATAAATACTTTAATAAATCATAAAAATATATTAACAATATAAGACCTCAATGAGGTGTATATACATTAAATTAATAGATTTTAATGGTTTTATGAAAAAAATATATTATAGTTAATTATAATTTCATTAAAAATCCTATGCTTAATTATAATTTATAAATTATAATTCTTAAGTTTTAATGTCTTATGGGATGAGAAAAATCCAACTCTCCTGTCCAACCATAAAACATGCATTGGCACAACTTCTATGTGAAAATATAACTAATAATTATTTATTGTTTAAATAATTATTATTTATTATTCATTTCAAAAATTATAAAAAATAAATAAGCATTATATAATATATTCAAAAAATAGTTATTAAAGAAGAAATTTCAATTGTGGATATGATAGATTATCAATAGAATTATAATATATTCAATCATTGTGATCAAATGATAAAATATAATTAACTATTTATTTATATTTTAATTCTAAAAAAATAAAAAAAATAATTATTAAAGAAGAAATTTCAATTGGTTTATGGATATGATAGAACATCCGTAGAATTATAATATATTCAATTGTTATGATCAAATGATAAAATATAATTAAGTATTATTTATTTTTTTTATTCTAAAAATATAAATAATATATATATATATATATATATATATATATTAAAGAAGAAATTTCAATAGCTATATGGATATGATAGATAAATCCATAGATCTAAAACATATTTAGTCTTTATAGGTAGAGAAAAAACTTACATTTTCAATTTTTTGTTAATTTATATTTTCCCCAAATATCTTCATGAAATTTCCATAAATATACTGATAGCACAAAAAAAATGTGATTTTGAATGTAATAAATGTAGATCAACATAAATTTAAACATTCAAGAAAAAAAGAAATTACAAGATATTATAAAAGATTGAAAAATTTTACCTACTTTTGCCATATTTTTTCAAAATTTGAAAAATCTTAAAAAAAATAACGATTCGCACTTGTTTCTTGCAAAATTTTGCAAATCTAGCACTCTACGAATGAAGTTTGGAGTTTTTGAATCATTTGGGGTGAAAGAAGGCCTATTTAAGGGAAAAGAAGCTTGCTTTCCCCCCTTTAATTTTTTTTTTTAGTTTTTGGCCATATCTTTTTTGTTGATATGCTACTAATACGCTCCGATACACCCCTTGTTCGCCCTGATAGACCCCGATATGCATGAAAAAAGACAAAACATTTGATTTCCATATGTATCCTATATCATTTTTTAAAAGATACGATATGATACTCCCCGTATCGGGTGTATCGTATCGAAATTTTAACCTTGGTTGGATCCCATAGAGGTGGCTTGGTTTTGTAAATATATTGCACCTTTGGTGTGTTTTTAGGTTATTTCTCTTTTCTTATAAAAATATAAGAACATTCCCTTAGGCTGCATTTGGAAACGAAGCAAATGGAGTGTAAATCCCGCTTCAGGGTATATTTGCACTCTGGTTCACTTTTGCCTGTGTTTGGCAACATTATATTTATGCATTGACAAATGACAAACCAATGCATATTTACATTGATAATAAGATGTAAAAGTACATCAATAAAAAAGAAGTAAATTTGCATTCAAGTGGGATTTTGATAAAATATATATATATATATATATATGCTTTGTTGAAATTCATGCATCAATTACAGCTAAAAGTTTGTTTGGTAAGAAGGTAAATTTGTCAGTGCAAAACTAACCCAACTTTGTAATTTATATGAACCGTTTTACACTCTACATATTCGCATTCACACTTATTTACATTGTTTCCAAACGCAGCCTTAAGGTTGTGTTTGTTTCTAGTGCAAAAACAAATATGTACCATTCAAAAATCCCCTTTGAACGTTTCATGAATACAAACTGGTTTAATTTTACACCAATAAATTTTGTATTCCAATCAAATGGTTTTTATGGTAACTAGTACAAACACTAATTCCAAAATTAAAATCCACCTATTTTACATTAACCAGCTATGAGTGTTAAGTTTATATCCAAAAAATTGATACAAACTTTCTAATCAATTGTTTGTGTCAATTGTGAGTACAAACATGTGTTGGAAGTTGTGATAATTGTCATTATCAGTACACAAATGTATGCTTACCAAATGCATGCAAAACTGAGTCAAAGTACATTTATGTATTAAATTGGCATTTACACCACAAACAAACGTAGCCTAAAGAACAAAAAGAGATATTCAAGGCTTGGGCCTCCTCCAAATGATCCCTATTCACCCTATAGCTCTAGCACATTTTGGTCTCTATTGCAATGTCAAAATCTAGCTTTACAACTTGGGGGTTGGGGGAGGTTTTACCCTTGAGTGGTGGAGTTTTGAAGAGTAGTGATCTAAAGTTTCAAAAAGTTACTTTCCACCAATCACATATTGGCATGTCTTGGCTTGGTTCAACTAAAATGCTATTAGGTTTGATCTTGAATTCAAGTTCAATTCGAAGTTTATTTTTTTGGATCGAGCTCAGTTTGATTAAATATTCAATGAATTCGAGTTTGGCTCAAATGCTCAAATTATGAGAAGAGGTAAGACATGGGTTGGGAATTTGCACCCCCTAATGTGACTAGAATCACACTTACATAGGATAATCGAGCTTAATTACCATGAGATACAAGCTTGATTAAAATTTGACTCAAACCAAGCCTAATCGAATTCAAGCCCAAATTACTTGATTGGAGCTCAATTCAATTGCACCCCTAGTCACATGGTCTATTTTTTATTGGTTCATGTTTCACAATATGTGCTTTCATGTTTTACATTGTGTACTTATTATTGAAGATTTAAACAACCTTAAAGATTCAATTATAATGTGTTGCTTTATCATTGATTCAAATTTTTTGCTTTACTTTGTAACTCATGCACATATAGTCATATAGATTTTACTTTTGCTTGATATACATCATTAAAGTCATTTGTAATTCATTCTATTAATAATATATAATATTTTGATTAAAATTGGTGCACTTTATTAGTTCTATTAGACATCTAGTTGCAATATGATTTTGATTTGATAGAGATCGATAAGACTTCATTCAAATCAAAATATAATCGAAACAAATTTGGGACTGCCTATATTTGTTTAGACATAATTTATTTGCAGCCCTAACTTGGGAGTGCAACTTGGACAAGGCTTGGGTTGGCCATGCACCCCCTAACTTCGGGTTTCTACTCTCCTAATTATGAGAAGAGGCCATTTTAAGACATTTGACCATGTATTCACCATGGTTTTTAAAACCGACTCGGTGACTGAACTGGTAAGTGGTCCGGTTATTGGGTTGGATGGTCTGATTTTTCGAATCGAACGCTTGGCCCGTTTTAACAAAAAAATAAAAATTCAAAAAAAAAATCAAAACCCTTCGAATAGTTAATCGTCTGATTCAGCAGTTCATTGACCAAAATCAATGGTTTTGGGGGAAATCCAGTTTTTGGGGAAAATGGAACCAGTCACCTGATCGGTTCCCGGTTTTTTCGGTTTGGTTCGGTTTTGAAAACCATGGTATCCACCTAGAAGATGATTACAAAAAGTTTTTTTTTTTTTGGCTTTTAGCAACCAGTGCACATGGGTCATTAATCGATGGTGGCTTAGGTGATTTTTGGCATCAATGCCATTTTTTGAGAAAACGTCACCATATAGGCGCCACATAAGAGAAAACGGTGCTTCAAACAACACCCTCTTATTTGGTACCGCTTTTTCTAGAAAAAAATGTTGCTTGAGACCACACCTTGAAAATTGGGAAAGTGTGGTATGGAGCAACACCAAATTCAAT